TTGTGAGAAGCCGGGAGGAAGTTGCCTTGCCTAGCAACTGTGGGACTCAGTTAACAATGGCAACCAGGACTGCAGAGATTGCCATCACTAAGCGATGAGGTTGCACTTTACAACTGCATCACTTAGTGACAGAAATTATTCAGTTAACAATGGCAACCAGGACTGCAGAGATTGCCATCACTAAGCGATGAGGTTGCACTTTACAACTGCATCACTTAGTGACAGAAATTATTCAGTTAACAATGGCAACCAGGACTGCAGAGATTGCCATCACTAAGCGATGAGGTTGCACTTTACAACTGCATCACTTAGTGACAGAAATTCTAGTCCCAATTGCCATTGTAAGTTGAGGACTATCTGTAATCAATTCTCACATTTACATCTATAAAAAAGGAATTGTGGATAAGACTCTGGCTTAATAAAATGAGCAACTACTACTAAAACTGATTAGCCAGGAACTGTAAACATACCATGTAAGCCTAACTGCCTGGAACAAGTGCTTCTATATGTCATGTTTAAAAATATTAAAGCTACTAAAATCAAATTTATTTCTGCAGAGTGGGAAACGTAATTTATTTGAACAACATGATTTAAACTTAATTGTGAAGAACAGTTTCAATGGGTAGAATAGGTGAAAACAGAGACTGAAATTACAGGTAACATTATACATGGATTCAATTTAACCACTGTTGAATAAGCCAACAGTCTGGTTGTTCATCATGCTAGGCCAAATAGGCTTAGCATTATGTGAGAGTTAGGCTTTGTCTGAAGAGTGGACATAAAAATCTGAGACAAAGGAAATAAACCTAGAACAGTTGCTCAAGGAATTGGTAAGTAAGTGAAAGAAAATAATGTTGCATCTTTGCCTTAAGAATCCTTGGCCCAAAAGTTAAAATAGAAAGTATCTACATCACATGGGCCTCATTACTTGCAGGACCGCCTTTCTACAGTGGTTTCTGCCCATCCCACCAGATCTGGCAGGGAGGGCATGCTCCAGGTCCCTCTGTAAAGCAACCTTTCTGTCACACAGTGGGGCCTAGGAGGTGTGCCTTCCCTGTCAAGGCAACCTTCCCCCTGAGATTTGGATGGCCCCAGCTCTACTGGACTTCCTGCTGGAAGGCCCTGAAGGAATTGGGGCCAGGTTGCTAGTGGAACCTGGTATATGTGTTCAATTTTATATGCTGTTAGAGAAATGTTAACAGTGCCTCAATTATGTTTTTAACTGTTGTGTGTGTGTGTGTTTGTGTTGGTCCCTTTATTGTGTTTATTATGTTTCTGTTAGCTGCCCAGAATTATTTGATTAAGATGAGTGGTCATCAAAATCTGCTAAATAAATAAATAAATAAATAAATAAATAAATAAATAAATAAAATCTTAAATTCTTCTGAATGCTAGATAACTGTGAAAGGACTCTACTTTTAAAGACTCTACTTTTAAACTTTTAAATCTGAAACTGCTCAGCAGATCTATATAAGAACAGTCTTTGGTATCAGGATCTAGGAGTAAAATAGTGATAGAATTCTGCCTTGCTTCCAGCAGACCTATAGCTAGAGTTGAACAACACTTAGATATAAAAACAAATATAAGATCCTGAACCAACTAAGTGATCCATGCATATCTTACACAGATTTTATGAGCTGAATTCAATGCTAGGGAATGAAACCTCCCAGTTCCCTTACTAGACAGAGCATTTGCTATAAATTTGGAGTAATACAAACATGAATGTTGAGCTTGAAGACTTTCTTCACTGCTAATTTTAAGCTTACAAAAATAAAGCAATACACCATTAAAAGCACCAAGTCCATAAGAAAAATAAATTTAATCAATTGTTACCTACCCAGCTGGATCCACTCTTAACTTTTTGAAAGCTGTTTGCAGGCTGTCTTCATCTCCTTCTTTAGCTTCTGATTCCATCTGTAGGTTGTTAGAAGGCCACTGTGCCTGCCATACAATGAGTGCTACCAACAACAACAAAAACAGTTTTTGTTTTTGTAGAGAATAGAAAGTGCAATAAGCCTATAAGAATGGCATACATTCAACAGAAATGCATACTATATACAACTCCAACACAGACTGACTGATTTGTGAAAAGTCACCTTTCAAGTTCCTAGTTGTTTGACAAAAAGTCCCATGGTCAATTTTAAGAGATAGCCATGTCATCAGGAAACACATTTCTTGCATTACTTTGAAGCTTTTTACAACATGAGCTACTTTCTAGACAACAATGGTTAAATATGCATTTACTAAGTAAATTATCCCTTGCATATTAAGACAGCATTCTTAGTTTAACCTAGTTTATACATAAACAAAGTATTTACCATGCAAATCAATAGTCAAAGCCATTTGGTTAATATCAAATGAGAATGAAAAACTGTAAATGATTGAAAATATGATATCTGTGACCACTCAGAAAGGTTTGTTTGAACCTATGGAACAAAAAAACCCTACATTATTCATCATTAGGAAATAAGACTTAAAACTTGAATGCCTTAATGAAAACACAAACTTCTTACTGAAATTCATTAATATGCACTACTGCATAACTCTGATAATGCTGATTACTATTTTATAGATCAATTTACATAGAAATGTGCTTTAGACTCACTCTTTATAAGGCGACTTACAAAATGTCAGAATAAAAATAACAGCCATCTAGTTGGGAATTGGGGGACACGGTGGCGCAGCGGCTTAATGACACTGAAAGTTGCCGGCCAGAAATGGTTGACGCTTCAGC